TAGGATTGGAGCAGGAGCTATGTTGATGCCGACCTCAGCCACCACCGGTTGGTGATCGGAGCTTAAGTCGTTGATTGCCACTGGCTTGGATAGCCCGAAGTTCGTCAGGAAGAAGTCCAGCGTGGAAGGGTTTCCCGCTGGAGAGATGAATGTCGGTTCATCCGGAAATTGCACTGTATACAGCCCATGCTGTGAGTGGTCGAAGAGCAGACGTCCATTCTGATTCCGCTGATAGTTCCGCCATGCTTCGAGGCGGGCATTTAGATCACCCCCAATGACGAATCGTGAGCGCGTGCGAGTGAAAGCGGTGAGGTCGTTCTTGAATTTCATCCTTAGTCCGTTGCTGGCAGCACACTGACGAGGGCAGTATACGGCGATGAACCGGACGTTTCCGGTTGATGATTCCACCTCCACACTAAGGGCCTCGATGATAGAAGTGTGGATATGCGGCAGCGTGTAGAACTTTATTCCTTTCTTGATGATGATCGCAACACCACCCCCCCTGGAGTCGATACGATCAAGCCGGATAATGTGGTGATCAGGTAGCCAAAAACTGTCACCGGATTTAAGGTGGGTCTCTGTTAGGAGGCCCACGTCGATACTTTGCTTGCGGAGGAAGTCAGCAAGCTCGAGTCTTTTTGCTCTTACAGAGCATGCGTTCCATGTGACGACAGTTATCGGTTTAGACCCCATACTGAATAATAAACTTACCGAGCACTTGGATCTGTTCGGGCTTGCTGCGGCACTGACGAAGAGCACCGGTCATGTCGACGAAAATCTTCATCAGCTCATCCGCAGAGAAGAGATCGGGATTGGCGTTTTGTGCTGGTGGTTGTCTTCAGAATCCAGGGGGGGATGGAGAGCTTTGTCCAGCTGAGGCACCAAACGTTTCTTGACGGGGGCCGGATTGCACCCGTGGATTTGCTTGACCGTGTTGCGTATCACGAAGAGGCGGGAAGTCCTCCACCCTGAATGCCGGAATGTTTTCCTTCTTCCGTCCTGGTTGACTTCTTGTGGACGCCTGCTTTCGGATCCGCTTGAAATCCTCGCGTTTGGGGCACTGTTTGTCGGACCCTTGATGAGCTCCACCACAGTTGGCGCATTTGCACGTGTCCGACTCGTCGACAACGCACTCGGAGGAGACATGATTTTGGGCGCATTTGCCACAGCGTGGCTTGATGTAGCAGTTTCGGGTGCCGTGCCCGAAATTCAGGCAACGCTGACACTGGGTGACGTCGTGACGGCCGCCACGGTATGGCTCCCATCGGACAATGATGGAATTAATGGAGCGGATAGCCTTCAACGCATTAAGCGTCACCGTTCCCTTCTGGAAATGCACCAGGAAAAGGCAATCCGGATATTTATTGACGTTCTCGTCCCTCCTTGTCATCCGGAAGACGGCAGTTGGGGCCAGCTTGTAGCGGTTCTTGATTTCCGCTTCGATCAACTTCGGGTCAAAGTTCGGTAGACCCCTGATGACGACCTTGAATGGTTTTTCACCGGGAATGTCATGGGTGAAGAATTCCACCTTGGAAGTCCTCAGGTGGGCGATGACCAAGTCATACTCCGTTTTTGTACGGAGCACCACCTTGGTGCCGACTCTGCCCAACTTGAATTCGGCTTTAACGCCCAGTGACGCCAGATCCGCGATGAGCTCGTTAAGATGGGCATTTTTCACTACCAGCGGAGGTAGCTTCACTCTTGTCGCGCACCTTTCAGCAGCATTTTCTATTTCGGCAGCGTCGCCGAAATCTTCGTTTGTCGCAGAGGTATCCTCGCGACCAATTGTGCCATCGGACTGGCCCCGATTCTTCTTCCTCTTCTCGCTGCGTTTTTCCGTCACAGCTGGTTGGATATTCCCATCCATGGGGAGAACAGCAAACCTGTTGGATGTAGGTACACCCGAACTTTCTTCACCGGGGTTCTTGTCCTTCACCGGGCTTCGCGAGCGATGCTTCCCCATATCGGGGCACGCACACACACAAAAAACACCGCGAAAGAGAGAGAGCGCGTACACTTCACCACGAACTTTCTTAGTTTTATTTTTCCATTCTGTACAACATGATCTTAAATTTATGTGTTACATTAGTGATCTATAATTATGTAAAATCATTTCCTGTCACTATGGAATTTTCCATGTCCCTATCAATACCGAACTTTAAGTTAATTTCTGCTAGTTATAATTGAATTTCTACGCGGACTTAAAAAGGGCTAATCTATGTTTTCGAGTCCTTATGTCCTTTTTGGAACCAGAATTTCTCAATATGCTCATAAATTTATTGCTTTTTGTAACTCAGATCCGATATGGCTATACAAATAAGAATTCGAACATTTGCAACGTTTAACATTAGATTATTATCCTTCGTGAACGAGGGGGACGACTCTATCTACGATGCAAAAAAGATTGTGTTTTGCTGTGGCTAGCTGCGCGCACGCTGAGTAGATAGAAAGAAGATTGATGACGATTCTGAAGATTTCCTGCAAAAAATTGATGAGCGATGCAAGTAGATGCGACAAATGAAAGAAGATTGTTCGAAGATTGATTCGCTAGTGTGAGATTTGTTGACTATCTAAACTTGAGATTTAGATGTGTCGCCCCCCTCGTTCGTGAAGGATGAACAAAAAGGGAAAACTAATCTTAATCTACATGCTCAGATATGTCGCGTCTGGGCGTGTGTTTCCTACTCGAGCGCATATGCATCCTAAGTAAATAGTGCAGTCGGATTATGTAAGCGAGCTGTCGTTGTTTTGCCCTAGGTACCTTTCATTTATTTTCCTTGGCCTTGGTATCTGTCGTGACCGGACCGAGGTTTCCATCCTCGGCCACGGCAACACGAATTAGCGATGCAGCTCCCACGGATGCTTCTATTGCTGCTGCTGCTGCTGTTTCTGCTGCTGAGGTTTCTGTTGCTGCTGTTTCTGCTGCTGCTGGTGGTCCGTCACCTCCGAAATTCGTTACAAGAAAGACTTCAACGAGCTTAGGTGCTGATGACCAATGAGACTCTGTTTACATACGAACTATCACGCTTCACGCTCACTTGATTCTACTCCTTATTTATTCAACACTAACTCTATCTTCTACATTCTTCCCCTCTTCTACTCTCCTTAATTGAGGAAGGGGGGCATTATATCCACCCATTTGGTGGAATTTTATCTACCCTCTCGGGGGACTTTCATCTACCATCTCAGAGATATTTCATCCATGAGGTCATGGCAATTCCAACTATTTAAAAATTTCCTCAGTCCATCCATCAAGTTATGGCAATTCCAACTATTTCTAAATTTCTTCAGTCCATCCATCAGGTAATAGAAATTCTTATCTACCATCCGTTCCAGAATTACCAGGTCATAGTAATTCTATCTACCATCCATCAGGTCAAGGTAATTCTATCTACCATCCATCAGGTCATGGTAATTCTATCTACCATCCATCAGGTCATGGTAATTCTTTCTACCATCCATCAGGTCATGGTAATTCTTTCTACCATCCATCAGGTCATGGTAATTCTTTCTACCATCCATCAGGTAATGGTAATTCTATCTACCATCCATCAGGTCATGGTAATTCTTTCTACCATCCATCAGGTCATGGTAATTCTTTCTACCATCCATCAGTTCATGGTAATTCTTTCTACCATCCATCAGGTCATGGTAATTCTTTCTACCATCCATCAGTTCATGGTAATTCTTTCTACCATCCATCAGGTCATGGTAATTCTATCTACCATCCATCAGGTCATGGTAATTCTTTCTACCATCCATCAGGTCATGGTAATTCTTTCTACCATTCATCAGGTCATGGTCATTCTATCTACCATCCATCAGGTCATGGTCATTCTATCTACCATCCATCAGGTCATGGAAATTTTTCAAAATAATTCTTCAGTTCTTTAGTCATTCCACTATACTTACACTATCGTACCAACTGCGCCATTGTCGTGACCGGACCGAGGTTTCCATCCTCGGCCACGGCAACACGAATTAGCGATGCAGCTCCCACGGGTGCGGCTGCTTCTATTGCTGCTGCTGCTGCTGTTTCTGCTGCTTAGGTTTCTGTTGCTGCTGTTTCTGCTGCTGCTGGTGGTCCGTCACCTCCAAAATTCGTTACAAGAAAGACTTCAACGAGCTTAGGTGCTTCATATTTATACCTGCTAACCTATCAAAATTCTCTAACCAATGAGACTCTGTTTACATACGAACTATCACGCTTCACGCTCACTTGATTCTACTCCTTATTTATTCAACACTAACTCTATCTTCTACAGTATCGACATCAGCTAAGACTTATGCAACTATGCGGGTTGACTTATAGACTTGATCCTAAATTAATTGCCTCGCGGTAACAATCACACTCATAGTTCATCTATTCTCCACGAGTGCCAGCTTTGATTTCCCAATTTAATTGGCAAATCAAAGTTGGCACTCGTGGAGAATAGAAGAACTATGAAAGTGATGATGGTTTCAAAATTTTGCACGGGGAAGTATACGAGTGCAATCTTAAAATGCTTTTATTTTGAAAATGGAGCTTTTTATTTAAATCTGGTTACTGCTACAGTGGTAGAAAAGTGGAAGTCTATGTTTACACCTAAAAATCTGAAAAGAAATTAAGTTTTCTGTATTATATGTCTATTGAGTAGTCCTGATGTTTTCTACTAACGTAGCACTTATCAGATTTAAATAAAAAGCTCCATTCACAAAATAAAAGCATTTTAAGATTGCGCTCGTATACTTCCCCGTGGAAAATTTTGAAACCATCATCACTTTCATAGTTCTTCTATTCTCCACGCGTGCCAACTTTGATTTGCCAATTAGGCTTTTAAACTTGTTTTAGTTTTTCTTTCTGAGCGCAGTTAATTTAAAAACATCTGGCACCCCTAAAACCAACCACCCTAAAAATCATCGAACATCGAACACCCTTCAGAAACGTTCCACGGAGATTCGTATCTCCAAAAGCCGCTGCAAATAAATGGCATCCTTCAAAGAGATCAAAAGTGGCTTGCTTCACCACATCGCTCGGGTGTCGTGTCGTGTATGCACTTTTCGTGTTTTTGTTATTTCGGAAATTTGTATCTCCCTTGCAAAATATGCTCATTGTGCGAGCATAATTGTACTAAACGGGTTCGTGAAGTTATACTGGATATTAGCGATAAGAGGAAAGTATAGAAAACAAGTGGACAAGCTGTTCGGAGAAAGGATCCAATGGACTCGATGAATATCAAAATGGAGGTGCCGGAACTGCAACTTCCGGATCACATCTCGCAACTGGGCGAGGATGGGCTGGGAATCATCTCCAATTCGGAGTTCCTTGCCAATGGTAACGGGCTGTTTCTGGGCGAAACGGATGACGGCGATGACGACGATGATACCATTGTAGTGCATATGGATCTGCGGGAGAATCTATCGACGTTGAGGTGAGTAGCAAGGAGGTCATTGACCAGATGCGACTACTTTCTCTGCTTGTTTGTTTTCTTTTTGCAAAGGGGTCTGGTGGAACAGCGTATCGGAGTGTCGTTGAAGCATTATGAATTTTGGCTGCAGGATACTCAGATGTTGGAATCGCACAAGAATCTGGTCGATCAGTGTGTCCAAGGGGAGGGATTGGTTCAGATTAACGTTCAGGTTCAGACGGCTAAACGGAGGATCAACATTGCCGATGTGCTGAAACCGACGGATGAGGTGCTGGAGAGCTATCAACAGGAACTGGAATTGGCGGCTGCTCAGGCTGCCGCAGCAGCACAGGCAGCAGTGGCGGCCGCTGCTGCAGCTTCCATCACCACCAACGCGGAAACCAATTCTTCTGCTCCACAACAGGACCCTTCCGCAGCCCCGTCACCGACGGCAGCTAGCGTTTCCAACGATTCAGCTCCGGCACCCAAAATACCGCTGCAGACTACGAAGGAAGAGCTGGAGACGGCTTCTGCGGTGGCTGCCATCATAAATTCCGCTAATGCTGAAGCAAACGCCGAAAAAGTGGTTACACCGACCACCACGGCAGTAGCCACGGTACCGGTGACGACTACCACAACCACGGTCACGAATGGCACGGTGTCTGCAAAATCTACACCGCCGATGATGGATTCTCCCACGATCATCGATGACGATGATGACGACGACGATATGATGGGGGACGGAGGTCAGTCGGCCCTGCGCTGGGTTTGCGATACGAACTTCAAGCGCGATCAGCAACGGTTGAACATTCCGGACGATCCGGTCGAGTGGACCGTGGCACAGGTCAAGCACTGGATCCAATGGGCGGTGAAAATATTCCAGCTGACTAGTATCAAGCTGCAGGATTGGAGCATCAGTGGGAAAGAGCTGTGCGACATGGATCATGCTGAGTTCAAACAGAAGGTTCCGAGCGATCCGGGCGATCTGTTCTGGACGCACTTGGAGCTGCTGCGAAAATGCAAATTTGTAGCCGTCGTGCAGAAGCATGGTGATGGGGACGAGTACGACGAGATGGCCATTTTACGGAAGGTTCCGAGGAACAGTTTGGCAAGTGAGTATTGCGATAACTCGAGGGGTTGAGCCGATTTCAAGTACAGTAAATTCCTGTTTTCAGACGAAAGCTACTGCGGCAATCGAAGCGGCAACAATGGGCAAATTCAGCTGTGGCAGTTCTTGCTGGAGATTCTCACCGATAAGGAACATCAGGGAATCATTCAGTGGATCGGTACGTTCGTGGATTCTGATTTCTCAAATCTATCTTCTAACCGCTCTTGATTGTGTTCACTCCAGGAAGGGAAGGAGAATTCAAGCTATGCAATCCGGAACTGGTTGCCCAACTGTGGGGCGAACGGAAGAACAAACCGACGATGAACTACGAGAAGCTGTCGCGTGCTCTTCGCTACTACTACGACGGAGATATGATCTCCAAGGTGCATGGCAAGCGGTTCGTGTACAAGTTTGTGTGCGATCTTCGGGAACTGATCGGATACAACGCTTCCGAGCTGGCCAACCTGGTCCAGGATGGAGTATCGTATGTCAGCAGCAACCAGTTTGACAGTTACGACCGGGACTGCGACTAGGATTAGTCTTTAATTTCTTTTTGATATTGAATTTATGACATTTGATTTATGATAACTAAAAGTTTACTGTAACGTTGAATTGAATTTATTAACGATGTTTAAGATTATCACTCTTGCTTATTATATATTCTTATATATGCATTGAATAAACGATTATACAAAACCTAGCTACAAATGTTGAAGATGTTTTATTAGACTTAAGATGAAATATGATGCTGGAGAAAGGGATGAAAGTGCCACTGGCGTACCCTAACGGAACTGTACCCTATCTCGATGATTGATTGAAATTAATCAAGCATCTCCTTCAAACTTTGTAATCGCAAACTTCACGCATAAAGATCCGAAAAAAGGAAACCCTAGTTGCGTAACTAATGCAGGGACTCCTTCATCGCTTCCTTTCGTATTTGAATTTGTAGATCGGTGCCTGATCCTTCGTTCCCTTGGCCACGCGCTTTGGTTTTCTGGATCGCTTCTCCTGCAACGCTCGCTTGAGTTCCAGCTTCTGCTGCACAATGGTAAGCTCCTTTTCACGCTCGACTCGGCGCTGCAGTTCCTTGTAGGATTTCTCGCGTTCTGCATTCATCGCCAAAATTGTCTGCAAAAACCATAAAATTACCAACTACAAACCAAAAAAAAAAATCGAATCTAAACTTACCGCTTCATCCTGCACCCCCAAAACCAACTTCTCCAGCTGATCCAGTTTGGGCCGGTTGGATTTCCTTGCCAGCAGACTGGGATGCGTCTGAAGACGTTCCGCCACGTCGAAACGCTGGGCTTCCTGCTCGTCATCTACAAAGAAAATATGCTTGTTCGCCGTCCGGTTGGCAACTTCGGTCATGTGCAGCGTGCCCTGCAGCCGCTGGATCTTGTTGGCCTCCATCGTTCGCTTCATGTTGATGTACTTCAAATCCTGTGTCTGCATGAGCTGGATCTGTGCCGACGAGTGTTCATCCTGCTTGTCGAGCTCGTGATGTTCGCCGGCCTGTACCTTCGAGTTGATCATATGATGGTAGAACTCATCCGGATTGCGGGTTTGCGCTCGCTTCCGAAGTAGCTTGAGCGTGTCATCCTTTTGGTGCTGATCCTCGGCGCGGCGTTTGTAGTCCTGCTTCTTTTCCAGCAGGCCCAAATGGACGCGTGCTGCCGGTTGGGCACGTTCCCGGTGAACCTTTTGGTTCGATTTGGCGGCTTTCCTCCAGCTGGACATTTTGGTTCTCAGCAGTTAGCAGATGAAAACAATGAGGATTTAATTAAACGAAACGGCGCACGAAATAAAAACACGTTTTTGGTAACTGAACTGGACGATGTTTGCTCTCGAGGTTTGTTTACAGGATTGACAGCTGATCTTGTTACAGCGGTACGCTTGATGATTATTTTCTTCGTACGACAATTCTGAAGGTCAGTTCGAGGGAGTGTGGGGTTAATACAGACTAGTAATCGTATAATATTGAGATCCCCCCAGAGTTGCGACCTATCTCAATCACGATCGCCAAACAGCTGATCTGCTGATGGTAGCAACGCTTTGTACATTCCTATCAATGTGCTCGTAGAAGCTCTCTCCATGACCATCCATCAAGTTTATGAAATAAGTAAAAAGCAACTGGTGAAGGTGATTCCCTGTAGCGTCCTTTCTCGTGTTACACTTCGAAATTTTACATGTAAAAATAATAAGGTTCCTGGGAATGCACGTAGCTGAAACTAGTACATATTTGTTGTTTGCTGCAGAGAAGCAAGCAATGTCTGAAATTTTCAGATGCATAAACGTCGTAGATCCTGAGTTGTGTGCTCTTGAAATTGCGAGGTGTGATGGAAAAATGGACTCTACAAGGAAATACCTGAATGTCGTCTTCTGTTGTGATCCATCACCGATCTGGTCATTCCCGACAATCACGACACTCATCTGTGCTCGTTTTGAAGCAGTTGCTGCTTTGCTTGCTTATTTGAGTGTGTTGGTGAGTGAGCCCAACAGCTTCCGTTTCATGTTGCCTACTTTGTTTGTAACTCACACAGTCGCGCCTGCCGAGACGAACTTGGAATGCGTAGGCATTCCCCCTTATTCTGCGAGTCACGTGACTCTCTGTCACCGGTGAGGTGACAATTGTCTCCTCGTGTGAGATGACTCTCCATGTAAATCAAATGGACAGTCACCTCACACGAGGTGACTATTGTCACCTCACCGGTGAGAGAGAGTCACGTGACTCGCAGAATAGGGGGGATTGTTTCCATTTTCTTCTGTCGTTTCGCTTTTTCTCATGATCGTACCACAAATGAAGTGACAGACGGAGCGGCTCGAAAACTACTGGATTGTACCCAGGGGCCTGGCTGGCGACCATGTTTTTGATGCTTTCATGTGCTCTTGTCTTTCTGCTTACAACACGATTTTACGTCGCTTTCCTTCATGTATACGTCAGGCGGGCCGTTTTTAAATAAGGCCCGTGATCTTGCCTACTGTCAAACGTATAGGATTGATATGGGGTTGCCAATCCCCTGATTGTACCACATGGCAACACTACACATGGTAACACTAAATGTACTAGAATGTTTTGGTTCTATCTCTTTCACTCTACTCCAAACTGAAATGCATAAAAAAAAATGACAAAATGATACACTCTTTGCACACTGTCAAAGATCCTATTGCAAACAAAATCAACTATGTTCAAATCAAAACAAAAATACTAGCCCATCTGGTGGCTGATGGCACAAGCTTCTAAGAAAATTCTATTACAGCGAACCACATTATTTTAATTGATTTCTTCGCCAGTTAGTCGTCTGTCACTTCGTTTGTGATCGTACTGCAGAAGTATTCACTGTTTTCGTTGTGCTTTTCATCATCAGCAGCGAGTGTAGCGTTTTGCTTGTGAACAGCGACCATTACTGGTGATTGTTGTTTGCCATTGACGAGTGCACGGATGGATTTGAGTTCACTCACTCGACAAAAAGTGACACAACAGCGGGGCCCTGTTTACTAAAAATGAACACATATATGTTCATTTTTAGTAAACAGGGCCCCGCTGTTGTGTCACTTTTTGTCGAGTGAGTGAACTCAAATCCATCCGTGCACTCGTCAATGGCTCTAACCACAAACGAAGTGACAGACCGCATAAACGCAAACCATCACTTGACCTTACCGATAATGGTTATAAATTGTTTATAATCCCTCCTAAACTTTAACTGAAATGGTTTTGGAACCTTACATGAACGTTTGTGTGATAAAGTTTTAACCTTATGTATTATGGTTTTTAGGAAGCGGACCTTACAAATAATGGGTCGTTAAGAACCATTACCATTCCAAATTCTTGTTTTCTCCATACATTTTCGGAAAGAGAACTATATTAGAACGTTTTTACTTATGGTTTGAGAACATTAATGATTATGGTTATGGTAGTCAGTAAGGTCCATTAATCGTTTTGTATTATCGCTCAACTTTACGTGGAATATATCGCGAACTGATAATTATTAATTTACAGGCAACCAATTCGCGATATATTCCACATAAAGTTGATCGATGTTACAAAACCATTCATGGGCCTTACTGACTACCATAACCATAACCATTAATGTTCTCAAACCATAAGTAAAATCGTTCTAATATAGTTCTCTTTCCGAAAATGTATGGAGAAAACAAGAATTTGAAATGGTAATGGTTCTTAACAACCCATTATTTGTAAGGTCCGCTTCCTAAAAACCATAATACATAAGGTTAAAACTTTATCACACAAACGTTCATGTAAGGTTCCAAAACCATTTCAGTTAAAGTTAAGGAGGGATTATAAACAATTTATAACCATTATCGGTAAGGTCAATTTATGGTTCGCGTTTATGCGGGGGAGCGGCTCGAAAACTTTGGTGACGCACCTGCTATTGCAATTTTTCAGTGTACCACATGGCAACACCACTACTAATGGATTGTACCACATGGCAACACTAAATGTATTAGAATATTTTGGTTCTATCTCTTTCACTCTACTCAAAACTGAAATGCATAAAAAAAATGACAAAATGATACACTCTTTGCACACTGTCAAAGAATCATTGTACACAAAAACAACTTTGTACAAATCAAAACAAAAAAACTAACCCATCTGGTGGATGATGGCACAAGCTTCCAAGAAAATTCTATTACAGTGAACCACATTATTTTAATGGATTTCTTCGCCAGTTAGTCGTCTGTCACTTCGTTTGTGATATAACCGATTACAAATATATCACTTTTCGGTTCTATAATCGATTAATCAATTATTCGAATGAAAATCGGCCATCACTAGATGAATGTGAAACGTCATTTCAAATATAAGGACCGTACATAAATAATGATACAATTTGAAAGGGACCGGGTTGGTACTAATGGATATATTTGGCCACTATTGAAAATTTAGCCGATTGCTGAATTTATGTATGGGCCCAAATTAGGGACATGTAGGCCGACATTAGCTACATTTCCCCTAGTGATCATTTCCCGCTTCCGCAGGACATATACTGTTCGTGAAATTACCTGAGAAACCAAGCTCAGTGACTTGAGCATTGCAATCAGAGTCATCCTGGTGAGAAGCGCCTGAAACCAACAATCCATACGAAACTAACGATTTTAAATTGGCTCACTACTTGAATAGCCTATTGGTCCCAAGCAAATCGATTAACGTACCCCATTCTAGTATAAATTCCAGTACTACACTATGTTGGTTTTGATTCGCTATGAAAGTTTGACAGGTAAAATGAGGGGTTTTTCCTATGTTTCGAGGGGTGAATCGATTAGCTTGGGACCGAAGAGAGTACCAGAGCTGAGCCAAAATGTTGAGTTCGTTTCTTCGGGACCTTCTGGTCTTAGAGTTACCTCTATGGTTATAACATGTTATAGCGATTGTCAAATAAGTCACATGTAGCAGACAACATATCTACATTGTTACCTGCAATTGGTCAATTGCGGAAAGATGCAGCAACACAATATCATCTGCCAGCCTCTTTCCAGAGAAATGCAACATCGTGCGGTTCCTGCAAATAACCTAAATCAAGCTGAACATTGCATTAGGTCCTAAGTAACATTATCAGGTAATTTAAGCACACAGATCGATAAAAGAAGCTTTTATCCAGCATCTAATACGACAAACACGACAAGAAACGGTTATGTTCTCAAGTTATTAACGAAAGAGAAAGTCGATGAAGAGAGTCGATCAATGTTACTTAGGACCTAATGCAATGTTCAGCTTGAAATTGTCCTGGCAACACTCCAATTTTGGTTCCCGCAGAGCTAGGTGGCATCCCTATCTTGTTTGCCTTGCCTTAAAAAGAGCTAACATCGCTACGGGCCCGCGAATTGTGGGCCCCACTGACAGCTCATAATTTGTAAACAAATAGAAGATTCAAGCCAGAATTTCAAAAAAGGCGTGACTGACTCTTCGGTCCCAAGCTAATCGATGCACCCCTCGAAACATAGGAAAATCCACGAACCCCTCATTTTATCCGTCAAACTTTCATAGCGAATCAAAACGAACATTGTGTAGTACTAGAATTTTGACTAGAATGGAGTACGTTAATCGATTTGCTTGGGACTAATAGGCTAGTCTAGCAGTGGTGTTAGTGTTGACCAACGAGGAACGAATGTGCGTTCACTCGATGGACGTCAAAACCGCGTTCTTGAACGGTTAATTAGCAGAGGAGATTTACATGACCCAACCGGAAGGGTTTCAGCAGGGTGTAGTGTACCTACATGCTTCCATCAAAATTTAACATACATAGACACATTAAGCAACGCTACTTCAGTGTCTGCTTAAGTCAGCATTTTGGCATAACCAGCAAGTATGGGAACGATTGCCTCCATCGTGTCTCACCGTAAATTGTTCAACTAAAAAGTGTGGAACTTACACCGAAATTTGCGACGTAGACACGTAGAAATAGGAATGATCACAGTAACTTATTGATAAGAAATCAAAACAAAAACAAAGGGGGTTTGAAAACAACTCCCCGGCAAGGTGACAGATAATGACTAAAAATGACTCCTCGTCAGCATGTTTCAAGTCAGGTAGCTGGTTACTATGCATAGAAATAAAGACAGCACATTCTAACTCCAACATCGGTTGTGTCCAGTTGTACAAAGATATCACATCCACGTACCGATAAGTTATCGGTGAAGTTTCATCTGGGGCTGACTCGCTGGAAGCGAGTTGGGCCCCCTAAAAATATTAAAATGCCCGGATGCCACAAGGGGAATGGATTGGTTTGTTGGTTGCATCGTTCAAGTTACGGGTTGAAGCAAGCAGAGCGTAATGCTACGTTCTCATTACGCTCTATATTATGTCATATAGAGCGATTCGTGATATAGCAGCTATATCACGTTCTATATTAAGTGATATCCCATATAAACGATCTGTCAACCTATATCACGAAAAGAGGTTGATATAGCTCATATCACGTTCTGTACTTGATACAAATCAGAAAAACAGGGGCTGGCAACCTGGCCACAATAGAGCTGGTCGGTATTTTTCGGCGTCAAATGTCACTATCCGTGAAGTCAAAACAAAAAACAACATAATATATGTTAATAATTATTTTTCACCGCGGCGGACGGGTCTTGCCAAAGAGGAACGAAGAGGAAAAACGAGATCCGAACGCGAAGCCTTTCTTGATTGATTGATTGATTGAGTAACTACTAAATACAACGGCAAGGAAAGAAAACTCCAGTAATACGTAGTGAGGAAGTTTACCAGAAGACGTAGGAAGTGAAATCCACCTCCGAAAACAGCCAATTGGAACCACTCGAGGTGAAAATGCTCAAACTATTCTCACTGAAGGTGCATAAGAAGGACAGTGAGACAATTCCGAAGTCTTCACCTTGGCTCTGCTGAGAATAACAAAAGGTAAACAAACAATTCGGAAAAATGTTTATCGATTTTGATTACCTACTGATTTCCGTGCCGCATGGCAGTTCACAGAGCGCGTGACCTTATAATTGGTGAGCACACAGGATGGCACCGGCATTACCCAATGGACAATGGCAATGATGGTCGCGGAAGATTCGTTGGAGGTTCATTAAACTTCAACAACCAACTCTTCCTTGAGATCGATAACCGGTTTAAAGGTGTGTGTGCCTTATTATCGGTATGACAAATTAAATGATCAAACAACTGCAGGAGAAATCCAGTGCCAAGATGAAGTATGCTGCGTACAACATCCTTGAGTTTAGAATGTCGTTTTTTTATCCTTGTTGATATTTTGTTGTATTTTAATTTTTGTATCGTAGGAGTTATTTACTTTAAACTTTGTATAAAATAATGCCGTTGTTACACCCACACTCGGATACGGTGAAATATCTTGATTTTTCGAAGTTTCATGATGGGCTACTGATCACGGGACCGCAGGACTGTCGTGAAGGTGTGGCATACCGGAGTGGAAAACTCGATGTCAAATCCGGAGTGTACGTTCTCCAAGACGTTCTCACAAAGCAGCGGATGGTAAAATCAGTGGGATTCTTGTCATGGAGTGCATTATTCTGTGGGATTTTACTTTTCACCAGGAATCGTTGTAAGGGAGCTTAAATTGGTCTTGCCTATCTTATGGGAAATTCGGTTTTGTATCGGGGTTGGAACCAGTTCAAACTCTGTGCCAAACCGAAGTTTTTGTCAGTGCGAACCTCATACTGAGGTAGATTTTATAACCAACGATCAAACTGACTTTTTTCAGACAACAAGCAACCCAAGATACCCAATCCAGTTTGAAACTGAATAATAAACGAATTTATTAGACTTTTCAATCGATTCCGCGACCAGCAGAATCTACGTAATACTACGTTTTTCCTGCAAGCGGGATGCTATTTCCTACGTGCTTTCTTTGTACTTGCAGTTCTCAAGTGAGGCAACGAGTCGTGCAACATGCATCTAATGAAGTATATGACTGGTGGGGGAGAAAAGCAGAAGGAGTGGTCATAGTTGCCGTAGTAGCCGATTGAGACGGTAGACGAAGAAGGTCTTGTCTATGAGTAATGGGGACAATTAATTGATTCGGAGAATTTATCGGAGCTGACCTTGGGTTTACTCGCTTGGATAGGAAGTACTTAAATTACACCATTATTCATATGAAGATTAAAACATCAGAAATATCACGTTTACTCTTGTAATCGTGAAATTTCTTATCTGTGAATTTTCGGTTGAATAATGGTGTAGAGCCAGAAGTGGCGAACAAGTGGCACCAAGCGATTTGAATATCGCTGGACAATCTGTAGGAGGTCAATGAAGATGTTGATGCTTATCCTTTTCATTCTTTCTTTGTTAAAAATAATTCTTTCAGTCTTCGGCTGGTTAATATCTGGTGAAGCTTATCGCATTACAGCTGTCATTCAACATCCTGGTAAACCACGATGGCATCCGCTGGTAGTCTCAGTATGGCCAAGTCCTTATTCCGTCAGCATCTGATGCACATATTTTTTTATCTTGTATTGTTATGATGCTGCTAATAAATTATCTTGTAGCTATCTATAATAGACACGAATACTGTAGTGAAGTTTCAATATTTTACTAAAAATCTCAAATCACAAAACTCTTTGTATGCTTTGCTCCATCGTTAACGCCATGCCGGCAAATTTCCACGGAAATTTAGGAACATCAAATAAATTGTATTCGCGGATTAGAAATTAAATTTTATTGATTTTTCAGCTTCATAATTGTTTTTTTTTTCTCGCTGTCATAAATGACAATCTATCACCCCTATTCTGTATTTCGTTTCGAACGAAATTCTCATACAAAAAAATATTTTTTTGTATGAGAATTTCGTTCGAAACGAAATACAGAATAGGGGTGTATATCAAGTCACCGCAAATGTGAACACCTCAACGTGATATCGATATCATCTCGCTATATCACGTGATATAGAGTGTAATGAGAACGAGGTATAAAATTATTGACTGCCTAGGCTGAGTGTGAAAGCACTGCACTATTCAATCCATTGCTCTGTGCAGCCGAGTCAAACTGTCAAACGGGAGCCAAACATTCAAAAGAGCTCAGAAGTCATGTAGGTAGTTACTGTTTGAACCACAACAAATTAAGAATTATAATTATGAAACTGTCGAAACATCAACCTTAGTAGGCTGGATAATGAAAATCATCGAGCGTGATGCTCGAAAAAGTGTTTTTATTTGATATTAATAATGCCAAAACTGGGTTGCTGAAACAAGAATGTAATCAAACTTTTTAAGAGTCATGTGAGCTTTGTGGGCAGGTGCACTCCCATCACCATGTATACCGTTATTTCTGGAGTAGAGGAGGAGGAGCCAAGAGTTCATTTGACAGCATATATATACAATTTTGTGAGCTGTTTCAGCAAAACAATTTGAAACTTCGGAAGATTTTCGAGATGTTTTCTAGCTCACTTGAAAAATAACATCGGCTGAGTTCGCAGTACCCAGGTTTGTACCAAACGGTACAAACCACAGCATGTAATTGAGTTATTTTTCCATAGGAAATGTACGCTCAGTCATTTAAAACAAATATTGGGTACCATCACAGAGAACAGACGTTCAAGTTCGGTCAGAAACTTGTGTAAAATAAGTGGGAACGTCGCCGTCACGTGGTGTTAGCATAGAGGTAACTCTAAGACAAGTAGGTCCCGAAGAAACGTGCTCAACTTTTTGGCTCAGCTCTGGTACTCTCTTCGGTCCCAAGCTAATCGATGCACCCCTCGAAACATAGGAAAATCCACGAACCCCTCATTTTATCTGTCAAACTTTCATAGCGAATCAAAACAAACATAGTGTAGTAATAGAATTTCGACTAGAATGGGGTAGGTTAATCGATTTGCTTGGGACCAATAGGCTAGTCAAGTAGTAAGCCAATTTAAAATCGATGGTTTCCACCGGTTGGTGTTAGCATCTCCTGATTTTCTCTATAAATTTTTCACTTTCGACCAATTTGGCGCTAGTATCGATAAATTTCCTGTTGAAAATTGCCACTTGGCGCTACTAGCACTTAGTGTCTAGTGTAATTTGTGGAACGCCAGCGCCATCATTTGCATAGAAATAAATCATTTATGGATCATAAGAACCCATATTTGGGTTAAAAAAATTACCCATTTGTGAGTTTGTGCAATTCTGGATCAACAATAGAAAAGGGCCCATCAGCATTTGTAAACAAACCGTTCCAAAGCCCATTCCTGACAAATCGAAGGCCGCTCACACAAACCAACACCATCATCGTGTAGGTAGAAGTTTCCCCTATCCGATGATGGTGTTGGTTTGCGTGGGTGGCCTTCACTTTGTGAGTAAAGGGCTTTGAAACGGTTTGTTTACAAATGCTGATGGGCCCTTTTCTATTGTTGATCCAGAATTTACGGCCAATCTCGGTAATCTCTTTGTACCGTCTGGGTAAACTGATCTTAGCGTGTAGAGGACAAAAATCATGGCTACTATGTCACACTGCAGAATACAGTGTTGCCCACAATACAGTTGCATAATCTTGCGATAAGATTATCAATCTCTTAAACAATTAATAACTATTTAATTTGAAGTTTGGCTGAAAAATATTCCCATAAGAATAGCAATAGAATTTGTTAACAGTACAATATGTCAAAAGGCTAAAAGACAATGAACAAAAAGTTTTGTTTTCCCATAGTAATTTCCATATAAACTTCAAATGGTTTGTGCCAAGTCAGTTTCTTATCAAATGAGTTTAAACTTTCGGAGGCTAATCAGGACCCGATTTTAAACCGTTTGAACATTGTGGAGCGAAAATTTCAAATTTTGCATCAGTCTAATGGGGTACGTTAATCGATTTGCTTGGGACCAATATGCTAGTTTCAAGTAGTGAGCCAATTTAAAATCGTAAGTTTTGAATTGATTGTTGGTTGTAGTGTATAGTCGGAAGGTCAACGCTGAATCCCGACGATGTAATAAATGGTTAATGATGAAATGTTGCATGGATTTCTCAAATTTTCCATCAAACCAAGTTGGCCGATGGTGGCTATTATTTAACGTTTTTATTTGATATTAAAAAAAAAAGTTCCTTTCGAAAGAAATAATAAATAATTACGGTTCCTTTTGTTTTCTCTTTGCTTAAAAATGATTCAACGTAAATAGGTAAACATTAGATAAAATAAAATTACGAACTTAAAAAAAAAAAACTTTCACATCAATGACAATTGACAGGGAAGAAAACGGATAAACTAATTCCTATCCGGGGAGCAAAGGAGTACGCTGGTGTTGACGTGTGCGATCAATAATAAACTTAAAAAAGAAACTAAAGACATGGAAGAATAAACTTAATCGAACATTATCGTAAATTGATAATAATAACTAGAATAACATTAAATATGTATTCTGTCGCTGCTGGTTGCGCTGGTCGTTTTAGCGTTTCAAGTTGATTCCTTGTGGACTCAATTCTACTTTAGTTTTTTTTTTTTTACAAAAGATTACTACAGGAGGGCGTTCAAAGTCGTTTAACTTGTCTTTGTCTCGTAGCTGGGAGGCACGTGGTTGGTTTTTCTTTTTCTTTAATTGAGTAAAACTTATGAATGCGTGGCGTTACAACTGTTAAGGTCCCGCCTGCGGTTGAACTTCCCTTAGTATAAACTCTATTAGTTTTCCGAGAGCAATGTGACTGATTTTCGATTGACGCAGGTTGATCATGTCTTTCACGAATAGTAGTAAAATGTATCGCTTGCTCTCAAGAGTAACTTAAAATGACACTGGCTCACGTACGGATAGTGGTTTTGGATTCTTAACGAAAAGAAAACAAATGGCGAATTCGGCAGGGCCTCGAACGGTCCCGCGTAGTAACGGTAATTCTCAAAGTAAGACGTTTGAAAAGAAGGCACTGATGGACGCGCACACACACAACGACGCATTTTTTTTCCTGGGGGAGGGGTGACATGGGGAAGAGGAGGGAGAGGAACGAGGTGGCTGTGACGACGACGGCGGCGTGGCGGAAGCGATGGTTGATGTCCGGAAAATGGCGGACGGCGGCTTACACTTCGACCTTGAACGGCGAACCGGGAATATGGTCGTCGCCCCATTTCACCATCAGAATGTAGTCGCCACGCTCGCGAACCAAATAGTTTACCTGATACTGGTTGCGGCCGGTGTGCTTGATGAACACCTCGTCGCAAGGTCCCTTCGGTCCGTAAATGCCAACGAATAGGATGTTGTTTCCTGTTTGGGGGTGAGGTAGAGATAGACAGAATGTCATTCAATAGTTGAAGTTGTTAAACTTTTTCAACGAAAGTGCAATACTAACCAGCGTCTCCGGCGTTGAGCGCGAACTGGTTCTGTTTGCCTAGGTACGCCTTCTTCAGTCCCATGCCTTTGGATACGATTTTGCTGGCGTCTGATTTGAAGATTGGCAGGATGACTCCGGCCCGGTTTCCGCCCTTGGATACCTTGGCTACCGTTTCCACGACAACGGAAGACGTTTCCTGGCCGCCTTCTTCCGCGAGCTTATCACCTGAAAAAGGACAAGTCAGTCAATCGGTTAATTCAAAAGAACTTTGCACAGCAAAACACCAACCGGACGAACCTGTGCAGTAGATCTTGAACGGCGATCCGACGATGTGCATCTGGTTGTACTTGATGGTCATGTAGTAGTGTCCCGCCAACAGTGGAGTGTATCGAACCTTGTAGCCTTCCTCGACTTCCGTACAATCCATCGCCACCTTGGACGGTCCGTCGATGGTGACGGCCAGAGTTCCAGCGCCAGCGTTGCAGGTGTCGATGATGAGGTCAGTTTTCTCGCCGGTCTTGATATCGCCTAGACCCTTACCGGAGGCATGAACTGCCGCCGGGTCGACGTCGTCCTTGCCGACCTTGATGCGGTACGGCGATCCGGGGATGTGGACACCGTTGAACTTGACGTGGATGGCGTGGATTCCGTTCTCGCGCGGGTAGAAACGTACCGAGTACTGGTCCTGGTCGATCAGCTGGATGAAGCAATCGTCCTCGTTGTTCGACGGGGCTACAACCTGTAGAGAACATACAATTTGAGCACCTGAGGTCCTGCTCCACACTCCATCGAAACCTACCTTAGCATCCAGGTCACCCTTAGCACCGTTCTTCCGGACCATGAACTGAGCTGGCTTGTCCGCTTGTACCGGGCCACTCGGGAACTGAGCAATCTCCAGCTTGTGGGCTTCACCCATGGCCGGCGATACGTATACCTTGAACGGCGAGTCCGGAATATGACGGTCGTTGAACTTGAGACCAATACGGTAGTCACCTACGATCATACGAAATGTGCCGTTAGATAAAGATAAGAGGCAACAATGAGCACGCATTCAACAGACCTGGTTCGCTAACGACGTACGCCACGTCACACGATCCGTCCTTGCGATCCTTGAATTCGATTTCGGCCTTGCTGGGGCCCTCGACGGAGATGGCCAGGGTACCACCACCGGCTTCACGGGTCCACACGTTGAACTCGCATGGCACTCCCTGCTCACCGTGCTCCAGACCGGGTCCACCGGCCTTCACCAAGTGGGCACCGGTATCCTTCAGCGGGCCTACCGTGAACTGGAATGGGGATCCTGTAGAAAAGAAAGGGAAGTTGTTAGACTCAGGCTTCGACAACATTCAACCAAGCAGTACACGAACCAGGGATATGGATCTGCTTGTACTTGACGGAGACGGTGTGCACGCCGAGTTCCTTCGGGACAAAGTGTACTGCATAGAGGCCATCTTCGATTTCCTGGATTTCGGCATCTTCGGTGACACCACCAGGCGAGGTGACGGTGGCAGACAGGTCGAACGAGGTGATTCCGGGCATCTTGAAGGTCAGCTTACACTGACTTCCGACTTCGGTGACGGGAACGGCTTCGCGCTGGCGTTGGATTTTCTCGCGCTGTCGGTTGGTTCCCTCGCCGGACACCTTCACGGTGAAGGGCGATCCGTTAACGTGGTGATCGGCAAACTTCAGATTTACGATGTAGTAGCCCGGTTCCGTTGGCTTGTAAGAGATGTTCAGGGTACCGTCGTCCTTGTCTGTGCACTGGATTTCGGCCTTGCTGGGGCCTTCAATGGACAGGGATAGACCACCGTAGCCAGCGTTGCGGGTATCTACGGAGAAGACATTTTCGGAGTGGGTCTGGCCCTCTTTGAGGGCATTTCCGGTGACAATGACCTTCTTGGCATCGCCCACTTCTCGTTCGCAGACGTTCACCTTGAAGGGTGAGTTGGCGATGTGCTTTCCGAGTCGCTTCACCGATACGGTGTGCTCACCGACTTCGCGAGGTGTAAACGAGATTCCAATGTTGCCGGTTGGCATGCGCTTCAGGAAGCACGGTTCCTCCAGACCGGACGGAGCCTGGATGGAAGCGTTGAGCGAGCGCAGGTCCTGGTCGGAGATGACTCCGGGCAGAGTAACTTCCGAGCAGGATCCGACGGAGATTTGGTTACGCTTGCGACCTTCACCGGTAATCTTGGCGAAGTACGGCGAACCCTTGATGTGCTTGTCGCCGAAGCGGACGGTGATCTTGTACTCGCCCGGTGCGGTTGGCAGGTAGGATACGGAAACGGTGCCATCCTTGTTGTCGTGGTAGGTGATCTGTTCCAGGGAGAGAAATCAATTTAAAGTTTTCACTTGTAGACATCTGGCGCAATTCGGTTAAACTCACATCAGCCTTGCTGGGACCTTCGACGGCCATCTGCAGTCCACCGGCGCCGGCACCCTTGGTGGAGATGGTGAACTGGGCCGGTTCGCCGGTAACGCCATGCGTCAGGCCCGGACCGTACGCCGTCACGTAGCCGCTGGAGATGGAATCGACGTGGAATTTGAACGGGGATCCCTGCACGTGTTCACCGTTGTACTTGACGGCCAGCTCGTGGATGCCTTCCTCCTTCGGGTTGTACCGGATCGACACGGTACCATCGTGGTTGTCGTCGATGACGGGCATGTCTACCTCTCCGCTTGGCATCCTGACTTCGGCTGCGGGAAGAGAAAAGCAAATTGCGACATTAGAGAAAATCCGGGTGTGAGTCACCGTGAAAGTAAAATTTCGACACGTTGGAATTTCGACGGTTTGCGATTATTATTTTCTTTTTTTTTTCGTCATTAAGTTATAATTTCTCGCTCGTTTTCACATGTGCTGGTCGGTCACTCGCGGTGCCAACGTAGTAGCCTGTGATATATTCCAGAAATATTTTTATTTCTGCCCCGGCCTACTCTGGTATGGGGTAGTTCCCAGCAAGTGGAAAGCCATTCATAGAATTGTGATTGTGGTGGTGTAGGTGCATTTCTTCTTCGTCGGACTGGGTGGATCAATCCGAACGCGATTTTTACATATTGAGTACACCTGTTGGTTTTGGCACAATTTATTTGTGTAGTATGATCGGGTGGCGGGATGTTTTGTGGGTGTGTGTGTGTGTGTGATCGGGTGAATACGTGAGGATGGTTATTTTTGATCACCACTTTACTCGAGGAGAAAAATGGTGAGAAAATGCTCGTCTCGATCGAAGTTATTGCGAAATATCTGTGTGTGGAACGTTATTTCACGCCACTTTCCGTCGTCCGGAATGGGCAAGATCGAGGAGATCATGGTAGGCGGCGGCAGTAGATGAAGGGGGTTTATGTTCAATCCGCAGTTGTTGGAAAGCGGGTGATTTCATGGAGAGGGAAGCGAGGAAGGAAGGCGGCACGGTCGGAAAAGTTGTCTGTTTATTTCTCCAGTACAATATTGCACTGTTTACACATGAATCGGGAAATTTTAAATGCTGGTGCACAATGCGATTGATTCGATCAAACCTGCGATCGGTACAACTTTGTAAATTTGGAAGGGCATAGGTAGATTTTCAAAATTCAATACAAATTTAGAAAAGTCGATATAGAAATGGTACAGAGTATACAGAAAATATACAGGCTTTCAAAATATAATACAGATAAAATATATAGATTTTTTAATTGTAATAGCAACAACTTCTTTCACCAACGCTAGCCGCTTGGCCTCCTCTTCGTACTTTATCTGCTGCTTTTTAGTTTATTCAGTTACGTATCTTGATAAAAATGGTACAATTTTGATCTAAACCAGCATACATATTGAAGTTCTTAGTGTGTTATAGTTATAAGTTGAGTAAGTATTTAATGGCGATGGTATTTTTTGTAACTATGGCATCATTATCTTACGGACATAATATTGTTTTATGAAGTAGCTTGTGCTGGAAACTGAGTACCCTTTGGACTATTCAGCGTTTTACCAACCGGTGGAAACTAGCGATTTAAAATTGACTCACTGCTTGTGTAGCCTATTGGTCCCAAGAACATCTATAAGCGTACCGCATTCTAGTCGAAATTCTAGTACTACACTACGTTTGTTTTGTTTCGCTATGACAGATGAAATGAGGGGTTCGTGGATTTTCCTTTGTTTCGAGGGGTGCATCGATTAGCTTGGGCCGAAGATAGTACCAGAGCTGAGCCAAAAATTTGAGCACATTTCTCCAGGACCTTCTGTTCTTAGGCTGTGAACCATTTGCCGAGTTAAATTTAACTCGTGGTTAAAAGTGACATTTTGAAAGTTATTTATTATGTTCGAAAATCCCCGTGCTATCGATCGACCGGTTTTCGAGCCACGGTCGTCAAAATTTAACTTCTTGTCTGTCAGAAGTAACCACGCTCGGATAGCAGGTTTAATCGATAACTTTTCATCTGTCAAATTTTAACCAAAAGTTAAAATAATCCACCAAATGGTTCAGAGCCTTAGAGTTCCCTAATAAAGAAATACCATAAACGAACGATAACCCAAATTTTCGAACTTTTCCACAAATGGTTTGGATGATACCCCGAACACGTCGTTGAGCAAAAAAAAAAAAGTCCGAGACCGAACTTTTTGTCAGTGTGAACCTCAAGTCTCGTTGAAGAGTACGCAGGAGAGGACTAATCCATAACTAAGAGAGAGATCCCTAATAAAAAATAACCATACACGAACGATAACCCAAATCATTGAACTATTCCATAAATGGTTTGGATGATACCCAAAACACGTCGTTAAGCAAATTAACCATACAATTTTTATTAGGGATGCTCTACACTCAAAATAATTTTCACGTTAATGCTACGTGAAAACATACATAGATTTTTTCCATCGCACTTTTCACGTAAACGTTACGTCATTCTCATATGGAAGCACTCATTTGAGTGAGCTTCAACGTCACTGGATTATCACGTAGAATTTACGTGATTCCTTCAGTACAGCTCATGGTGGTTCGGTGGTTCATAATGATATTATGAAAAAATTGACGGCAAAGCAAAAAGAGATACTCTACGTGATTTTTCACGTAACTATAACGTGTCGATTATTTTGAGTGTATATAAAGTTCTGTCCAGTTACACTGAAACAAGGACCATAGTTATGAATACTATTTTGCAGAAAACACTTGTTTTCAATATAACGACGCTTATTACCGTTAAATCTACTAGGAATTTATTATAGTTCACTATGAATGTTAACAAAATTACTATGATTCTGGCAAAACTACTATGCTTGCTCAAAATGCATAGTAATTTTGATAGAATTAATAGTAAATTTAAATGAATTTGTTTTCTGCAAAAATCTATCGGTAAAGGTATTTAATTTAAACCAGCAATATAGTATTTATTCCAATGGATTTTGTTTCAGTGTAGAATCCGGAATCACTTATTGTGTTGCAGCGGCACGGAAAGTGACCGCTGCAAGAATTATTTTACAGCGGTTTGTTTACAGTGTGCAGTGAGTCAAAAATTATTCCAGATGGAAGCCGAGAGGAGAGAAAAAAATCTGCATACCCACGTTGATAATCCAACGTGGTCCGCAATAAAAATCGCAACAACGTTGAAAATCGCTAAATCAACCGTGTATGATGTGCTCAAACGTTTCAGGGAGCGAAAGAGCGTGGATCGAGTGCCTCAAGGTAAGCGTCGTAGTGGAACATATGACCGCAAGCTGAACCAGAAGGTGTTGAGAACCGTCAGAGCAAACCCTGGACTATCAGATAATGAAATCGCACAAAAATACGCTACTGCTCGCAGTACCGTTCGAGGAATTCGTTTGCGAGCAGAATATCGTTCTTATCGAGCCAGCAAGCAACCAAACAGAACGTTGAAGCTAAGTTTCGTCACCAAAACTCGAGCTCGGAAATTTTACCAGCAGGTTTTGACGAAGTACCAAGGATGCCTGCTCATCGACGATGAAACCTACGTCAGAATGGATTTCGGACAGCTTCCTGGCCAAAACTTCTACATGGCGACGGAATGAGGAGATGTTCCTGCGAAGTTTAAGTTTGCTTTTATGAACAAATTTGCCAAAAAACTGATGATTTGGCAAGGGATATGCAGCTGCGGAGCAAAGACCAAAGTGTTCGTGACGAATAAAACGATGGACTCGAAGCTGTACAATGAAGAATTCCTCAAAAACCGCGTACTACCTTTCATTAAAGCCCATAAAGGTCCCGTGAAGTTTTGGCCAGATTTGACGAGTTGCCAATACAGCCGGGAAGTCATCCAGTGGTACCGCGATAATAACGTAGATTTCATCGATAAAAAACATAAATCCACCCAACTGCCCCCAGTTCCGGTCCATCGAGAGATTTTGGGAAACTTAAGAAAAGTGGAAAAACGGCTCGGGACGCGATTCAGATGACCAAAATGTGAAACAAATGTGCCAAGGAAGTTGACTCCGGAGGTGTGCAGCGTTTGATGGAAGGAATAAAGAAGAAAGTGCGAATTTTCATTAGAAATGAAGAGAAATGATTTGCACGAGGGGCACGCAATTGCCTTTTTGACTGCGTTGGATTTAAAGTACAAGGTGTTCAACTATGTAATTAGGTAATTAAAAATGAAAATTAAGTATTTCATGTAATTAAATTTAATTTCGCGTAATCAAAGCAGTGTCAGTGTAATTACTGTAATTAAACACGTACTTCAATTTGATTACGTAATTAATGTTATTAAAAAAATATTTTCTGTAATTAATGTAATTAAAGTTACACAAATGTAATTAAAAACGTTTCCAAATCCTTATACACGAACTATTTTAAAAAAAATAAGAAAACTCCCAACATATAATTGAATGAATCAGTTTATTCAAAAACTCTTCTTACACCCCGAAATACGCCCATATATGTTTTACTAGACTACAAACATGACCAATTCTGCGAATACTTATACTAAATTTCTTGAAGCACCATGCTAAAGTTCCCGCATAAACAATAACCATAATAACCACCTAGCCACCAATTCGGGATATCATCCCAACTTTAAATGATGTGGTCGTACCATCAATGATATCGTTAGTGTATGGCACTCGTTGATTAGGGTTGGAAACTGAATAGTCCACTCGCGACAATCGATTTCACTCTCGTTTTGTACGTTAAACTTAATTTCGTATGTAGTGCACTGTATTTGTTGAATAATGCGACGTTATGTTTAACATAAAGTAAAGAACGAGAATAAAATCGATTGTCACGAGTGGGTTACATCGGTTTACAACTCTAGCGACAATATACAGTGATAAGGAAGTGATACTCATAATGAGGGTTGTGATTGCCGTACAAATGAAATGGGAATCACTTAATTGTGACGACAAGTGACAAGTTTTCACCGTAAAGTGACATCCGTTATAAGGCCCAATATCAGCTTTAAATTGTTTAATTAGAATCTCAACTTTGAGTCTTAAAATTTTACATGTCCTTAAATTAAAGCAAATCCTCGAGCAATTTCCTCCTGATTAAAAAATGTTCGAATTTTAAGCTATGTTCACAGCACTGTTCGAAAGATGATGATATTAGCTTGTGCCTAAATTAACAGATTCAATGAAAGATGCATTTGCAGTTGGATTAATTTTCTAATGTTACGCGTGAATTCTTCGATTCTTTCAATATTTCTCTCAAACTAAATATTATAATATAAATAATAATTAGCAGATTTAAGGAAAAGGTCACTGCCAAAAAATACGTTTT